TGGGATCCCATAAAAAGTCCCCCTTGCCCTAGGAAAGCGCGCAAGTCCTCCAAGAGACTTCGCCCCAGGTACCTGGTCTAAATAAACCCTCTTGCTTTTGCATCTGGTCTGTGGTTTCGGTGTGTTCCTTGGGTTTGGGGTCTCTCCCGGAGAAAGATCTCAGCCGGGGGTCTTTCAACAGAAGGACGTGGGATTTCATCGGTACACCTGGCTTTGAGCAGCGACTGTCATGATGAACCTTTTTATCACCAGCCATCCCAAGTTTGAGTTTCTTCATCTAGGAATGCCTGGAGCCAGAGCCTCAGTGGAAACGCCCCTGGAAGCACCGTGTGAACCAGAGGGCCGCACAAACGCTAGCTCACGGATGCACTGGGAACTTCACCCCAGCTCCTGCATCGGCACCCACCTTCACTGGCGAAGTCTGAAAGAGAGGCTTCCCGTCGCAGGCCCTTTGGGCTCTCTGCGCGTCCCTTGACGAGTAAAACTTGATGATGGCGTAGAAGCCGGGGCGGGCCACCGCGGCGTTCGGGAAGACTCGGACTGAATACAGAAGGCCAAACTGGGAGAACGCTGCAGACAGAGAATGCTGCGGGGGGCGCACGACGTGAGCGCCGACCTCCGGCCCCACGACGAACCCAGTTCCCACGAGTCCCCCCTCTCCACCCGGAGCACTCCTCCCTGCACGAACAGGGACCTGCCCTGGGGAGACTGGTGGCTCGGGGACCTGTTGGCTCACCGACCCCCGGCTCCTGCTTCCTGCCTCTGGGTCTCTCTCCCCACCCCTCCCTTTCCTCGCCCCTGCTTCCTGCCTCTGGGTCTCTCCCCTACCCCCCCCTTTCCTCGCCCCTCCGCGCAGCCCCTCACTCTTAAGGCCTCGGCTGGGGGACCAGCGCTCAGCTCCCACACCAGCAAAACTTTGTCACTCTGGGTGGGAACCACGAAAGAAATCAATTCCGCCATGGTAAAGGCACTGCGCCTGCGCAAGAAACTACCGCGAACTCCGAGGGAAATCGCACACAAGAGGCGGTGCCAGATGAGCGAGGGGCGGAGACCAGACTCCCACGACTTCCCTAAAACTTAACGCAGACCAGGTATTTCAAGTTTATTTCGATACCATTGCCTTACTACGTAATAATAACTGCCTATATTCAGACACATCCTACCGAGTGCTAAATGAGTTTAGGTGACTAATTATATATGAACATCTTTAAAACTCGTATCTCTAGTGCTTCTTACAAATTATATCCATGCGCCGAGCTTCCAAACTAGAGACAACCTGAAGAGCTATAACAACTAAAAGTCAAGACATCTCTTGGCAAACCCGACCAAACCAGTTTCCCCTGCTCTAAGTTTCCTCTGTCGGTTTTGATGTCTTACAGATAGATCACTGGCAACGGAAATTCTTGTTTAAACTAACACATATATGGAGCTAAGGTAGTGGTGCACGCCTCTAACACCAGCATTTGAGTCAGCGGGGACATTTCCCTGATCTCAAAGCCGACTTGGTAGCATACAAAACCAACTCCAGAAAGGGAGCTACATAGAGACACAACAGAGTCAGACGTTTTTGAGAAGTAACCCAGAAAAAGAAAACTGAGTTTTAAAAGTAAACAAAAGACTTGAACAATGTGTCAAGAGGTGAGTTGGTCTTTTCTTCGAACCCGCACTAGAAGTCCCCCGAGGGGGTGCACCGTTCCTGGAGGTACTGCAATACCAGGTCGATGCGTGGAGTGGACGGAGCAAGCTCCTATTCCAACTCCTACTTCCAAAAATCCATTTAATATATTGTCCTCGGATAGAGGACGTATCAGATATTAAACTGATAAGAACAGATACTACACTTGATCTTAGCCAAAAGGCCGAGAAGCGATAACTCAGCCCTCACCACCGCCCGCGACACTTACGTGCGCACACACCTTTACATCACGGTCGCAAACACACACGCGACCAAAGGCACGCGCCCGACACCCACTCTCCTGCCCTGCCCTGACCACGACCTTCACTCCAGGGAAAGCCTGCGAGATCCAGGTGGGCCGAGGATATTTTTGTTGCTCCTTTCGCTCCCAGAGTTCCTGGGAGACGCGGCCACCTTCTCATTTGCATGCCCCGCCCAATGCATATTCAGTCTCTGAGCTGCCAGGTTCTTCGAGATATTTCAGACACAGAATTGACAGTACCTATTACAAGACGCACTCTCTCTCTCTCTTTCTCCCTCCTTCCTCCCATTTTCTGCCTCCCTCACTTTATATATAGGCTTGAGTGTTGTTAAGCGGCGAGATCAACAATGGGGTTGGGTAGGGCGCTGATGGTGAGTATAACCCCCGGAGAAAGCACACGCTGACCAGCTCAAGGGACAGAAGGATCCTTGAGGAAAGGGGCCTTTTGATTTCCAGCTTATTTTAGATATGCACCTCACTGTTTTTGTTTTGAGGCAGGGTCATCTGATTCTCTTGATTGGGAGAGAATCCAGGAGATTCCCAGCACCCACATGGTAGCTCGCCTGTAACTTCAGTTCCGGGGGAGCTAACAGGCACACACGTGGCACACATACATACAAAGCACACAAGAAAAGCATTCATACACATAAATAAAATAAATCTAAAAAAAAAAGACATAAGAAGTAAATAAAATTTACAAGACTCAGGGAGTATAAAGCTGCGGAAACCTACAGGATTCAGAGCAAGGTCCTTCTAACCTTATGTTTGCAGTAATGATTACTGGGCAGAGGAGACTCCCCACTAGCCCAGCCGCCTGTGAGTTATTTCAGAGAACTCCAAGAATGCAGTATCACGAGGCTGGGCGTTTTGGCGATGAAGCTGCCTGGGAGTCACCCACGCTCTTTAAGTAACCACCCATGCTCCTGTAAGTAACCCCAGCAAACTCACTGGCTCACCAAGCCAGACTCAGATGGAATCCATTCTTCAGTGTGTCATCAATGCTTTCTCTGGAGCGAAAGAGCTGTGCTCACATCTGCCCAGAAAATGTCACATGCCACTCTCTGAACTGCTGAGCCATCAGTCAGCCCCTCCTTCCTCTTTACAGGCTTCCTCCCTCCCTCTGGAAAGGAATCAACACCCAAGTGGAGCTGTGAGCCAGGGGACTAGATCCAGGGCCTAAATGGGGCGGCCTCCCTGAAGAAGGCCAAAGGCTAAGGAAAGGGATGGAGGACGAGCTGGCCAAGAAAGACCTCATTGGAATGCTCAGACCAGCCCCAAGGTGAAGACAGGTGTGGGGTGGGGTGGGGGAGTGGTGGTGACTGATACCATTCTCTAGGAAGGATGACTAGGCTTGGATCCTAGAACTTGCAGTGTAGCAGGTAAGAGGTAACCAGATTCAGAGTGTACTGGGATAGCAGAGCATGCTCAAACTTGCCAACATGAGGGCTATGGGTTTGAGAGACAGAAATAGAGGGTACCTCCAAGAGCTCTGGCCAAAGCTACTGAAGGACACGGTTGCCATATGCTGAGTTGGAGAGTACCAAGTTTGCAGAGGTGTGTGCCCTGTTCTGAGATCTGTTTGGAGTCACAAGCTAGAGATGGATGTCGGACAGCCACAATCAAGTGACAGCTAAATAGTTTCGGACACCACGCTGGGATGAGCACTGTCTGTGGATTTCTCTGCCCCGCCAGCCAGCTTCCGAATAAACAACACGGAGACTTCTTATTAAGAAAGCTGGGCTGGTAGCTTAGGCTTGTTTCTACCAGCTCTTCTAACTTAAATTAACCCATTTCTATTAGTTTACTTTCTGCCTTGTGGCTTCCTTACCTCATCACCGTATTGCCTATCCTGCTCGCTCTGCATCTCATGGCATCTCCACCTTCTTCCCAGTGTTCTCTCTGCTCTAAACATCCTGCCTAGCTATTGACCATACAGCTTTTTATTAAACCAATCAGTGACATATTTTCACACGGTGTAAAGGAGTATTCCACAACAGTGGAGACACTTTTTTCCTGTTAGTGGCACTAAAGATTGAAGCCAAGGCCTTGCACATTCCAGGCAAGTGCTCCACCATGGAGCTATACCATCCGCCCTTTCTTAATATTTAGAGACAGGACCTTGCTATGTTGCTTAGGCCTTGAATTGGTGACTTTCCTGCCTCAGCTTCCAAAGTACCTGGAATTACCCCCATGGGCCACTGTGCCCTGCTGGGAGTTTCTTACAACTTGTTAACAACTTGTAGCCAGAGACCACCAGGAACCCCCCTGCAGTGCAGCAAATTCAGCTTTTCATTGGGGTGTCATTGAGACTGCGTCAGGAATGGCTTGGCATGTGTGCTTGTGACAGGCGCTTTGAGGACAGAGGGAAGCAAGGCCTTCCTTTGAACAGGGTGCTCTTAAGAAGTGGGGTCTGGCCAGGCGGTGGTGGGGCACGCCTTTAATCCCAGCACTCGGGAGGCAGAGGCAGGCAGATCTCTGTGAGTTCCAGGCCAGCCTGGGCTACAGAGTGTGTTCCAGGACAGGCTGCAAAGCTACACAGAGAAACCCTGTCTTGGAAAACCAAAGGAAAAAAAAAATGAAGTGGGGTCTATGTGTCTTTGCAAATATCTGGTTAGGTAACATAGGAATCTCCCACAGAGGAGGGGAGAGGAGAGCAAGCCAAGGCCAAGGTCATCAAAATGGCAGCACTCACTGATATCACCAGCTGGATGAATGCCAAAGCAGCCGGGGGGG